TTTTAATTGTTAGACATTCAACTTAAACTTCAAACAATCGTGAAAAACCATTTCACACTGTCCAACCGGTGAACAAAGGCACATTGAATTATGCTTTAGTGGCCACGGACGTCTAAAACAGTCAATAAATACTGTATCTGAGACCAATGACGACTTATAAGTTACACAGTAGTATACAGTACTTGCACCAAGACATGATTTTTGGGTCTAGAAGGTTCCCTAGCAACGTTTTTGGTATTATGTTCAAGAGGCTTATATTGAAGTCAAAAGTTAATTCATGCAGATGGTTGATTTCCAATGGCTAAATAAAACTTCGTAGAACGGCTTTTACGCGGGAAATCGTCGTTGCCATGGACACAGAATGTCAGCGAAACAAAATCGAGTCAGTGTTGACAGCCGCTCGGTTCCAGATCACCAGTTTGGCGCAATCCAGTCGAAGAATTTCATAGCGAGTTCAAAACCAAGGAAGCAAGCCTGTCGAAAAAACAAATATTATTTTACTACGTTAAATCAAAAATTAATGTTGGAGGAAGAGGAAGGGTAATCCTTCCCATTCCATCCAAATTAAGCTGACGGGCAGTACTATCACGTGTACAAGGTAGTTCTAACTTTTGGATGAAACCCTAGTGTGTGACCATACAAATGAAAGATATTGAGCAGTACTTTCTTGAAGTACTGTTTATTATGTTGTACAAGTTGGTTCGAATATTCAAGTCTAGGGATGAAACACTAGTGAGTGACCATTCAAATAAAAGGTATAAATTGAGCGGTACATTCATGTGGTGCTGTTTGTCATGCTGTACGAGAAATGAAGTAACTGTTGAGTTTAAGAATGAAAGCTTGTACTTACCGCATTTGCTGGGAAAGCTCTGAGCATGACTGGTGTTAATCCTCTGAATAGTGCCTTAGGGCCTTCCTCGCGCATCTAAAATGGAAGTAAGAGCAAGCACACAGTCAGGCAGATGAAATCAAAAGAAAATAAGACCCCAATTTGATGCAGAGAATAAAACGTTTGTAATACAGACAGAGCCCAGTGCCAGCTGCCTGCCTTACAGAGGAGTTTGCAGTAGAGTAATGCCTAGTCTGAGAGATTTGACAGTAAATCTTACCATGTGTCTAAACACATCTCTGACGCCATTAGGATAACTTCCCTCAGGTGCTATAGAGAAACAAAATTAAATTAGTGCAAATATTGGTCAGCCTTCATCGGGAATTTTATTACTGGCTGCCTAATAGGGGTGGCTTTTTAATAGGTGGCTGCTCAACATAGGGGTTCAGCTGTATTTTAATGAAGTTGAGTGGATGGACAGGGTTTTTTAATCTCTGCTAAAAGCTCATACATTTCTTTTTAACCTGCAATATGTGTTCACGAATACTAAGAGAAAGTAACATTTTGAGATAGGTGAAGCTTTTCTATTGTTTTTACCTCTATTAAGCAGCCACTATCCATTTCCCCAAGGGTGGCTGTTCAATAGGGGTAGAACTGTACACTCTAGTTTCCCAGTAGTGGACAGCCTTACCATCACAGTAAGATTAAAAAGAAACAGCTTAGAATAGGTGCCCAGTTATGGCATATCAATATAAATGTTTTAGTAACTGTATATGGCTGAAACAGTGACTCAATGTCTGCCTAAGATACCGCAGTTTAAAAGTATTTTAGTTCATGCTAATGTCCTAGGTCACAATTTAGTGACCACTTTGGAAAGGTCTCCTTGGTCTCCCTTGATGCTGGCTGTGAAGAATAGTCTCTAATAAAGTTATTTTACAAAATATACAATGTAAATTCAAGTCAGGAATCAGGTTGTACCTGTTTGTAAGCGAGACTTCAACACATCAGGAGCTATAGCTACAGTCCAGTTCATCATGCCTGCCACTCCTGCCGACAAAAATCAGATTAGATGCAAAATAACTGTATCATGGTATTTTTGTGTTTTTTTTTGTTTTCATTCCATGCCCTGCCAGAGAGGGATTCCCTTTTCTTTCTGCTTGGTGAGAGAAAAGTGGGAACCTATGCTCATATATAGCAAGCTCATGAATTAGAAATGAAACATTGACTTACCTCCAGCACAAAGGATTTTTAAAGCACCAACATCTTTTCGACTGCAAGACAAGAATAAGAAGTTGTGATACATACATATACATACATGTACATAATATTCAATCTCTAAGGTGTTAAAAATAATAACAATGACTAACTTAAGACAAGTTCTGGCTAGAAAACAATGGATGATCTGCAATTTTCTGACTTCACAGGAGAAAGGAGACTAAAACACAACTCTGTATCTTAGCCATGTAATTCATGCAAAGGACTGATTTAGGCCTGCGGCTGAGGGTCTTTTTGCAAAGTGTCGCAAAAAATAACTAAAGACAGGTAACAAGAATCACATGCAACCTAAATATCAATCTTTGACTTGTTGTAAACCAGTACATACGTCTTTCCTTCAGGAGTTAGTGCATTTAGAAGAAACTCATATGATATAAAGTACATTCCAGTAGCAGGTACATCTGTGAAGGAAACAGTTGAAAAATTATAAAATTACCCTGTTGCTAATTAGCTCAGTCACTTTATTTTATTCTTGTAGACAAAGAATGGACATAGCACAAAACGCAACTGTCAGGGACGCTTCAAAAATATACTGGTGATATGGGTAGGGAGGGGGTGGTGATCCCACCCAGAGGAGGTACATTCTCGACCCCAGAGGGGGCGCTCCTTTTGGTCAGCACCAAGAATCACGACCTCTGGCCTGACCCGGGTTTCTGAGCATGTGCAGAGTTTTCGTTTGGTATTCTCAGCCAATCAGATTTGTCACATTTGATGGAAAGTCTGTGAATCGAGGACTTCCGGTGTTGGACCAGCCCAGACGCAATTCTTGGTGCTGACCAAAAGGAGCGTGGCCTCTGAGGACAAGAATGGAGGAGGAAGAAAGGCATGTACAGGTGTATATCACCGGCTAAATACATCTACATGTAAGATATTAAGAGAAAATATTTCTATCTCTGGAAACCTGCCTCTCAGTAAAGTAGCACATGTTCCTTTGTACACTCCTCTGATTCCACTTTGCTTGTAAAGTTTCTTCACCACATCGGCTGGGCCAGCGTATTTCTTCTCCGCTCCAGAAGCTTGTTGGATCTAAGAAGAGGACAG